GGAACTACAGGTGTGTGCCACCACACCTGGCTTGTTTTTTTTTTATTTATTGTAGAGATGAGGTCTTGCCAAGTTGCCCAGGTTGGTCTCGAACCCCTGGACTGGCAATCCTCTACTCCACCTCCTGAATTGCTGGGATGACAGGTGTGTGCCACTGCACCTGGCCTGTCTTCATCTAATTCTAAATATAACCTTAGGAGGCTCAGCATTTTTTCCATCACTGTAAGGAAAACATAAACAAAAACAAATAATCTCTTTGTTTTGGTTTTTAAAAAGTTCAGTTCGGTGGGTGCAGTGGCTCACACCTATAATCCCAGCACTTTGGGAGGCTGAAGTGAGAGGATTGCCTGAGTCCATGGGTTCGAGATCAGCCCAGGCAACTTGGCAAGACTTCATCTCTACAATAAATCAAGAAAAATTAGCCAGACGCCATGAGCATGCCACTGCACTTCAGCCTGGGTGACAGAGTGAGACTTCTACTCAAAATAAATAAATAAATAAATAAATAAATAAATAAAAGTTCAGTTCACAGGAACCAAATTCAAGCTGCTCCCCTGGACCAAAGATGGAACATTTTTGGTATCAAAAGGAATAGTGGGCCAGGTATAATGACTCAGGACTATAATCCCAGCTCTTTGGGAGGCCAAGAGTTCAAAACCAACTTGGACAACACAGCAAGACCTAATCTCTGGGAAAAAAAGCCAGTAACGTCCATGAATTGAGGAACAACAAAAATGTTAAAATTATGAGTTTATAAGACAATTAAAAAAAAATTCCTAACTCATTGATCAATTTTGGAGGGTGTTGAAGAGCCAGTTTGTTATTCTGAGAACTGGAAACAAAGGAAAAGAATAGAACCTATTTCCTGCTTTTCCTGAAGAATGATATTTCAGTTCAGTAATCAAGCAGTGAATGAAGGAAGGTCTATCTTTTAAGAGAAGTCAGTCGATGAAGAAGTGATAAAATATCATCACTTTGCAATCCTAAGGAAGTAATCCAGACAATGATCATCAACGGTTGCTAACATCATTATGGGAAAAGCCACTAGGTATCTGTGGAACTGTCATACAAAGCCAACAACACTGTGAAACACAGATTAATCTTAAAAGAGAGACAACCAGACACTGTGTGTTTCCTGAGATGATGCAATAGGAAGCACATGAAACTACCAACATGAAAGTCTTGCCAGAAGAAAAAAATCAAACACGAATCAAACCTCTAGATCAAAATCCTCATTTGCAAGAACTACAGGCGTTCAAGAGACATGGCAAATGACACCGTGGATATGCAGTTGGGTAAGTCCAAATATACCACATGCTAAGGACAAATGACCCAGCATGCGCAATAAACAAGTCAGAGGGGGAACCCAGAGATTAGCAGAGACGGTAAAAGACATATCAGCATGTGAGGACTTTGTTCGGATTCAGAGTCAAACAAATTAACTGTGTAAAGATGTCATGGGCCAGGCACGTAGGCTCATGACTATAATCCCAGCACTTTAGGAGAACGAGGGGGGAGGATTGCTTGAGCCCAGGGGTTTGAGACTATCCTGGGCAACATAGTGAAAACTTGTCTCTACAGAAAATCAACAATTAGTCAAGTGTGGTGGCATGCACCTGTAGTCTCAGCTACTCAGGAGGCTGAGGCAGAAGAATCACCTGGGCCCAGGAGGTAAAGGCTACTGTGAGCTGTGATCCATGATCATGATGCTGTCCTCTAGCCTGGGTGACACAATGAGACTCTGACCAAAAAAAAAAGA